AACTTCACACTGCATTTTAAGAGAAATCAAAATGTTTTTGTTTTGTCCTAGGTTTCAACGAAGCTGGATCACCTTTAGCGTTTAGTGGCGTCAAAGGAAATGAGACTTCACGTTCACTGAACTGAATTAGGATGTGGGTATTTGAACGTATTTTACCAGAAAACTCCTAAAGGTTATTCAAGGAAACCTCTGTTAGGACAATCGTTACCTAGCCAGAATTCGAACCGGGCATATCTAAAATAAAAGTCAATCACCTTACCAATCACAATGAGACATGAAGATAGACAATAAAAGAGAACATAGAAAAAAATAGAGTATTAAGATTTTAGACCGAGGCAGCCACAAGAGATCAATATTAAATTACAGTCCTACACGAAGAAGTAAATAGATGGCACTGATGTAAAACTGGTTCAACTACCTGAACAAGACTAGTAGTTACCAGCTTTGCAAGGCAAAATGTACGTACGAAAAGAGTAGATATTAATAGTTATCACTGATTAGCAGGAAGAATCATCAACATCTCACATATAAGTGGTCATGGTAATACATTTTCTTCCAAAAATATCTGTCGTTTCAGGTTTCGAATAAAACTGGCTATATCTACGGTAGCCTGTTCTTTTACCATTGCTAGTTGTGTGCACACCGCACGCAGAGCGCGGGCGTGTTAACATGCAAAGCAGTGCGTAGCTGGAATTCCTTTTCATGGTAGCAAAACCAGCAGAACGAATGACGTTCCTGACAACAACAGAAAGCGCCTAAGTACGTTTGTGCATACGTGCCTGTAAGCATTTGTAAATATACGTCATGAATATGCATAATATACGTAGGCATCTTTCATGTTTCAATAAAATAATCAAAAGTTTTAAATGAACTTCGCAGGTCATGAAGGTCCTTCAACGTAATAACGAATTATTTTTCTGGAAACCCTTCTGCGTGTCCATTTCAGTCAAAACAATTCCCTAAAAATAAATGTTTCAGTCATTCACAAAAGATTGTTCTAATATGTATTTCCTTGAAATATTATTTAATCTTGCCACACGTTTAAATAACCATAACATTCTTATGTCATTGAGCCTTGTAATTTTGAACCAAATTTAAACACCAATGTATTCTTCATTATTCGATTTTTTATTAATAGAGTTGTTACTATTATCAGCTCAGAATTAGATCATATTTTAAATGTTTTCAACTTTATTTAATTTTTAAATGGAATGGGGTTTAGGTCGTCATAGACCGCCCAGCTCTATACCAGGTCCTGCAATTTTATTCTTAATTTTTTAAAATACTTTTCTTTCTCATAAAGATCAGGATAATTTGTAGCATCACGGTGTCCTTGGATGTTTGCTTTCGGTACGACTTTGTGTAATTTTACAAATGTACATAAATTTTCATTTACCTTTTGACAACACACCATCCCAACTTTATACGTTAAATTTTTCCACAAAATGTCATTCAAAGTTGGCTGTAACTCATACTTTTTAGATAGGAGTGGAATTATCTTTTCTTAACGCATGTTTCTAAAATTGTGGGCTGAAACAAATTTTGAAAAAAGCATTTTTCTTTTGTTGAGGTAAATATATGAGTAAATTTAAGAAATTATTTTCCTTGCGTCTAGAATTTACGTATAATTTCTGGATTAAACTGCTAAAATGCAAAACGTTTTCCAGAGTTTCGGAAAACGTTGCATTTTCCGTGTTTAGGGTGAATATCTTCTGTTAATTCGGAAGTCCTTATCTTTTTCGGAATGTGTTATATGATACAAGCTGCAACAGAGTATTTCATAAATGATATGCATTATGATCATGTCATGACATAAACACGTAACGTAACGGGAGACACTGTTCACCTAGTAGTTTTATTCCGCCAGTTTCCTTCTTCTGATTCCTCAAAGCATTTCGGCTGATGGAGGTCACTATGACTCTAGAATAAGTCTCTGTGAAAACATAATTATATTCCGCACCTGTGTAATATAATGTGTACATTAACTTGAACTCCAATTACATATAGACACTAATAAAGTCAAAAAATCACTTTCTAATATTTTAAAAAATGGCATATAAAACAAAAATATTGATATATGCCCTAAAATACATATTTCTTTAAGATCTTTTTAAGGTA